CAACAGACGGATGGCAATGAAACGGCTCGAAGCCACGGAACGAAAACTCAAACGCAACCCCGACCTGGCCGGTGCGTATCGAGAAACATTGCAAGCCTACATACATGAAGGACACGCACGAAAACTTACGCCCGAGGAAGCGTCACAGCACAAGGGACGGAGATGGTTCTTGCCGCACCATGCAGTCACCAACCCCAACAAACCGGGCAAGGTGAGAGTGGTTTTCGATGCTGCGGCGAAATTTCAGGGCACGAGCCTGAATGACAAGCTGCTGACCGGACCAGACCTTCTGAAGAGCCTGCCGGGGGTGCTAATGCGCTTCAGGGAGGAACCTATCGCCCTAACAGCAGACATCGAAAAGATGTACCATCAAGTCCGAGTGACCGAGGAAGACCAGCCTTCACTAAGTTTCCTCTGGCGCGATTTAGACACAGCTAGACCGCCAGATGTCTACCAAATGCAAGTGGTTGTCTTTGGCGCCAAATCGTCCCCGGCAATGGCGAACTACGTGCTCCAAATGACGGCCCAAGCTCACCAAGAGCAAGCAGCCCCGAACAGCGACGTGCATGCTGCTGTGGCCGCCGTTTTCACCAACTTCTACATGGATGATTTTCTGAAGTCGGAGAGAACACCAGAGACGGCCATAAAGATGCAACGGGAGCTATCGAAGCTCCTGGCCTCTGGCGGTTTCCGACTGACCAAGTGGCTGAGCAACTCCAGGGAGGTTCTGGAAAGCATACCGGTATCGGAGCGAGCTCGAGGGAGCACGGACCTCGGCCTACAGCACCTCCCAGCGGAGAAGACCCTTGGCGTTATCTGGGACAGCGAGAAAGATACTCTGAGCTTCCAAGTCACGACCACAGAGGCCCAAGCTACCAAACGGGAAGTCCTCAGACAGACAGCATCGGTCTTCGACCCGCTGGGCATCGGCGCTCCATTCATCATCCGAGCCAAGATATTGCTACAGCACCTATGGACGCTGGACTTGAACTGGGACCAGGCACTGCCTGATCCGGAGGAGAGGAAGTGGAGGCAGTGGCGTGAAGAGCTCCAACGGCTGAAAGAAGTCGCCGTGCCGCGCTGCCTCAAGCCAGTCGAAGGGAAAGTTGTCAGCAGCCAGTTCCACGCGTTCTGCGACGCGTCGGAAACTGCGTTTGGTGCGGTCATTTACCTCCGCACTTCGCTGACGAACGGTGATCACCACTGTTCATTCGTCATGAGCAAAACGCGGGTGGCACCCCTGAAGCAGATGTCCATCGTGCGGCTGGAACTACAGGCCGCAGTGCTGGCGGCCAGGCTTATGGACACCGTGCTCAAGGAAGCAACAGTGGCGACGGAAGCGGTGACCTTCTGGTCTGACAGTAAGGTGGTGCTACAGTACGTCGCGAACGAAAGCCGAAGGTTTCATGTCTTCGTAGCCAACAGGGTGGCTGAAATTCATGACCTGACCAGAAAGGAGCAGTGGCGTCACGTGCCAGGGACGCTGAATCCTGCAGACGACTGCTCAAGAGGGCTGGCCGCGTCAGAGCTAACGCCAGACTGCAGATGGCTCCGCGGACCCAGATTTCTGTGGCAAGATGAGGAAGACTGGCCATCAAAGCAAGACGCGAGCCCGCTCAGAGCAGGACAGGAGGAAGTGAAGGAAGAGAAATTCGCTGGACTCACACTCCAACGACAGCCCATGCTACCAGACGCCACCAAGTTCTCGTGCTGGCTCAAGTACCGTCGAGTGGCGGCCTGGGTGAGACGTTTCACTCACAACGCAGCCATGCGCGCCTCAGACGCTGAAACGCGCCTCAGCGGACCTCTCAGTGCCCAAGAGCTCAGAGATGCCGAAATCTGGATCCTGAAACAGACGCAGAGGACAAGCTATCCGGAGGAAACTCGCAGTCTGGCGCTGGAGAAAGAGCTCCCTGGGAAGAGTGGTCTACTTCCGCTCTCACCATACCTCGACGACGATGGCCTGATGAGAGTTGGCGGGAGACTGGGAAACGCGTCAGTCTCAAAAGATGCCCGACACCCGGTCATACTTCCCCCTCGAGGTGAAGTCACCCGCCTGGCCATTCTGCAGAAGCACAAGAACTGCGGTCACGCAGGCGTTGAGCAAACATTGAACGAAACCAGGCAGAAGTACTGGGTCGTGAGGGGAAGAGCTGCCGTGAAACGACTCCTGCGAGGTTGTCCCACTTGCCGGCGGCTCAGAGCGCTCCCGAGGCCCCCACAAATGGCCAGCCTGCCTACAGCAAGGTTTGACACTGCTCGGCCATTCAGCAGTACGGGTGTTGACATGTTCGGGCCGCTATACGTGAAGCGATTCCGCAGGACTGAAAAGCGTTACGGACTGCTCGCAACATGCATGGCTACGAGAGCAATCCATCTGGAAGTGGTGCACAGCCTGGACACAGCCAGCTGTATCATGGCACTGCGGCGGTTCTTCGCAAGGCGAGGGAAACCATCAGTCATCTTCTCCGATAACGGGACCAACTTCGTGGGAAGTTGTCGCGAACTCAAGGCAGAGCTACGAGCCATGGAAAGGGAGATCGCAGAAAATCTCAGCGCCTTCGAAGTGGACTGGCATTTCAACCCCCCGGCTGCTAGCCACATGGGGGGAGTGTGGGAGAGGCTGATTCGATCGGTGAAGAGCACTCTGACGAAGGTGGTGGGTACACAGACGCTCACAGACGAAGTGCTGGTGACGGTGCTCACTGAAGTTGAGCACATGGTCAACAGTCGACCCCTGACCCACGTCAGCTCGGAGCCGCCAGACCCAGAGGTTCTGACGCAAAATCATGTTCTGCTCGGTGGCGCCTCGAAGCATCTCGCGCCAGGGCTCGTGAGAGACAGAGACATGCGCCGCCGACGCCGATGGAAGCATGTCCAAGCTGTGGCGGAACATGTGTGGAAGAGGTGGACAAGAGAGTACGTGCCGACTCTCATCCAGCGGAGCAAGTGGCGCAAAGAGCAGCGAAACCTGGAAGTCAGGGACATGGTGCTGATAGAAGAATGAAACATGTCTCGGGGCTCGGGGCCATTGGCACGCATCCGCCACGTGTTTCCGGCAGCGGTGGTAGAGTCCGGTCGGCCGAGCTTCAAACGGCTATCGCGAAACTGCACACGCGACCAGCCACCAAAAGATCTGCTTCTGAGAAGAAGAATGCAAGTGAATCTGTGCAGACGGGGAGAAGGAGGATGTCGAGAAGATGAAGGAAGACGAAGAAGGAAGAAGACGATGAAGTAGAGGACCACAAGTGAATTGAAGCTGAGAACGAGACGAATCGAGAGGAGAAAAGTCAACGCATGGCGAGCGAGCGCCGTGTTGGTCGGCCTGGTCTGGCTTGGCTTATTCGCTCGGCAAATGTCTGATGTCTATGTGTGCCGCTTACTAGTGAGTAGTCATAGGAATAGCGTGTGAGAAGTTTGTCGGTCATTTGTGTGTGTTCGGAACGTACGACCGAACACAGGGGGGAGTGATGTTGCCGACAAACTAGGCAAATGTCGCGCCGCTGATGCCGAGACGAGCCGCCGCCGCGCCGCCCGTCACCCCGCCTCGCCGGTCCCGCCGCCGAGCCGGGCCGCCGCCCGCCCAGCGGCCACCTGTCGCCGCGCATAGCTTTTTTCTGAGACAGAAGCAATGGGCCGTATCGACGCCGCGAACGGCGTCCCCCTGTGACCCTGCGACCCGGCTGACCTGTCACCTGTTCCGAATGGGGCCGGCGGGGCCCTGGGCCTGGGAACTGGAAGGGTGTGTGAGGGGACGCGGCGTGCCGGCCGCCTTTTTTGTGCTCTGCGTCACGACCCCTGTATCGAGTGACATTTTGGCCACGTATTTGAACCGATACCGGGCTCTGCTCGGTCTCACTTCACTGTTAGTCGCCGACGAGTTCACTTCGCTCTCAAACGTGGACGGCGGCGCTCTACTGCCGCTCACGTCTAACTTTTCTAACAACTGTGTCTGTGCTGTACTGCTGCCATCTCGCCGTCTTCGGTCAATAGCGAACTCTTCTATTTAGAAGACTGTGTTTAAGTGGTGGTGGTGTGAGTGAAACCGAAGTGGCGAGTGGAGGAAAGGAGAGCGGCGCGCAGCTCACAGTTTTCACGGTGGCCGGGTCTATTCACTATTCCTATCAATCCTCTGTCATCCTACATAATATGCATGCCGCGAGGTGTGCTCCTTATGCGCTCTGAGACGGGCGCTGTTGAACGACCCAACATGCATGCCGCGAGGTGTGCACCTTATGCGCTCTGAGACGGGCGCTGTTGCACGACCCAACATGCATGCCGCGGGGTGTGCTCCTTATGCGCTCTGAGACGGGCGCTGTTGAACGACCCAACATGCATGCCGCGAGGTGTGCTCCTTGTGCGCTCTGAGACGGGCGCTGTTGAACCTTGATCCGTAAATTATTCATCTGTGTTTATTTATTTACCGATTAGATACTTCCCTTCTTCATTATTCGTTCACTGCCTCTATTAATCCTACATCCTCTCACAATTTCCCCCGGCCGCCAACCCGAATGCTGCGAGACGTAACAAACACTATACAGTCCACACAAGAAAGCCAGAGACGTCCGCAACAGGAACGCTAAGATGCACCTTTTGTTGCGCAATTAAGCGTGACTATGGTGAGCGTTGGGTGTGGGACACAGCATTAAACTATGTCACTCAGCCCGTGTAATGCGGCACAGCCTACCACTCCAGGCAACTGCTTCCTGTGAAAAGTGGAACCATAGACCTCTGTACCTACACCACAGGTGTACAGAGGTCTATGGTGGAACATTATTCTGCAGTCAACTGTACGGTGGATCTCGGTTCTTAGCGAACAATTTCGGGCTCAGGTTATGCAGATAATGCACAAATAGGTATATTATTGTCGATAATCAAATAACTCAGATACGGGTAATTTGTTTGGCTTTAAAGAGATATTTAACTATTGCTATCGTCCGTCTTTACCTTTCTGTCCTGGGACGTGACACAACTGAAGCACGCATTTTCACCATTTTCAGGAAGCGCGTGGAGGTGATCTTTGACGACCTGACCCCGGGTCAGAGTTACGTGGTGCGCGCCATGGTTCGTCCAGATAAGGGCCGGTTCATCCCGTACAGCCTGAGTCAGGTCAGTGAGCGACTATAAACTGAGGATCGGGACGACATATGTGGACGTTAAATATGGACGTCAGACGGCAGATCATTTTTTTTTTTTGCAAGCATTTTGAAAGAAGCCTCAATTTATCAATTGTTGCACATGCTTCAGAGACTTCCACAAGCTTAGTTCGTTCGGTTTTATTGTATGTGTATACATGTGATCGTTTGACCATAAATCGATTACTGACCGTTATGCATAAACACAGTTACTCCACGATATTTTTATTGTCATGAATTCCACCGTAGCCGAAACTGACCATTTCATTTTCCTTACGTTTCACCAGGTGACGCTGCCGCCGTGTTCAGACGAGGTGCCGAACGAGTTGACGGAGGACAACATCGCTGGCCTGCAGCCAATCGGAGCGCAGGGATCCGGCACCAGGACGAGCGCTGAACAGACGGGCTCGTCGCGGCCGGCCTCGGCCGACTCCCGCGCCGAAGCGGCGGAGGAGACCAATAATGAGCTCACTGACTGGACTCCGTGACCGGTGCAGCAAGGGCGGCACTGCTCGGAGTTCCCACGTACTGGAGCAATGTGAGACATACTCCGAGACGAGCAGGTCGAAGGCAGTGGATCCTGTTCGAGGGTCGAGAGTGTTGAGTAATGTACATATATCTGATCAAACCGAGGGCCTTTTCTAGCCTGTTACACAGATCGCGAGCCAGCGATTAGTAAGTAGGTACCGTAGCCATATAGTAACTACTGTATTGTGGATTCAAATGAGATGCGTTAACTGCTAACTCGTCTTGAATAGATGAAGAATTTCTTCTCCAGAAAATGTTGAGCGTCTTAGCAATGTCCCGTAGCGCCTGTAAACATGTCATTGTACCATTTGTATAATGAACTCATTTTCTTAATAAAGACGGCAAAACTCAACGAGACATCTTTATAAGCTTTTGACATGAGTAGTACCTAAGACTGATCGCCATGCTCTCGTGACAATACTACAAAGCTATGTACTCAACTACATTCAATTAATTTCGACTTCACCACCATAAAATATGCATAAGAGCGACTGGAGCATCTCGGTGACGCAGAACCATGTGCTCAGCACCAATCAGCGGTGCTCTGTTCTGAGCACCGGAGCACGTGCTCGGGAACCGGAGCACAGTGCTTGGTGCACCGGAGCACGGCTCTCTTCGCTGAAGACGCTGGAGCTCGGTGGATTGAAAACGTTCATGCACTCAAAACTTTTTTACTACCTCCTGGAGAGTTCATTTTCATCAAACCCGCAAGATAATAGTATATTGAAAGGGTAACTCGCTGCTACCATTATGTGCATAGTAACGGTACGTGGTAAATATGAACTTATTCGCCAGCGAAGAGTATTATTACCATGTAAATATCAATATTACTCTCGCGATCCAGAACATCACGAAAACTCTTTCCTCCTGGGTATCGTGACTCGGGTACAGATAGTCGTTTCATGCGTGGATCTTGTTTACCCTCGTGAAGATGATATTTGAAATGGAAACAATCAGCCAATCAGAAACGAGATCGGCCGTTTGCGGTTTGAAGGCCGCGCGCATCTGTCAGTTTTCGGCCGTTGGTCTCCGAGAGCGGATGTGAGCAGTGTCGGTGCCGCGCGGCGTGGCCGTTGGTGATTGTGCTTGTGTGTTGTTCATCGCCTATAGAGCCTCTGTGGACATTTTATTGTAAGTACCTATGTGCTAGAGCATTGCGTGCCGTTGAGTGGTGCTAATTTGACCTGGTTAACAGGACCCCGTGCACGGCCACGTGGCCTAGTGTTGTGAGTACGTACATTAATTTTGTTGTGATGCTACAAGTTTATGCATTTTGTTGGTGACTTTGAAAAAGCCTTGCACTGTAGTGATCCAGTCTCATTATCTCACGCAGACGGGCGACCACCCAGGAACGCCGTCGCTCACTTCAAATATTGTGCGCTCTGCCTAATCCAATATGAGGGCGCTGAATGTCTTGTATTCATATTCAAATTGCATTCAAGTTGTATCGTGCAGTGTTTATTTACCGCTTGTGCATTGCTGAACGCTTTGTATAAATTTGTATGAATAAGTGAAGAGTCTCACAATGTTCATGGTTGGTGTGCCCCTCGTATTGTTTGTACGGAAGCCAAATATACCTACATTGTTGCTCTTGAAACATTTTTTTTTTTTAGTTGGTGAGCTCCGGTTAACAGAAGCTTCGTGAAGCTTCTGAAGGAAGCGTCTGTGGGTCTGTTACCATCCTCTGGGGGGTTTACACTAAAGGAAAGAGTAAACATTACCATGTGACAAAGGGTAGGCCATAAGAATATACTCTCTGTAGGAGGGTAAAGCACAGAGTAGATGATACGTTACTCCCTAAAAAAGGGTTCCGTTAAAGATTTACCCTTTCAAAGAGTGTAACCCAAAAAATGTTACACTCTAGACAAGAGTAAATCAAAAGAGTTTACCATTCAGAAGATGGTAAAAAACGTCTGTGTGTCATGTTACCCCTCCCTGGCGAGTTTACTCTTCATGAAAGAGTAAAATTTACCATCTGGAAGGTGGTAAAAAACGTCTGTGTGTCAAGCTACCATGCTATGGCGGGTTTACCCTTCAGGAAATGGTAAAAAAGTTTTCAGTGTGGTCCGCCGACAGACCGTTTCCTGACCAGAATCGGTGACCGGAACGGTCGGCCAGGCGGACCGCGTGCTCGCACCGCAGCGCGTTACGAGTTCCGCGTCACAGTCACAGTACGCACAGAGCGTGCCATTATGCGTAATGATGGCACGCATAATGGCACACATAATGATGGCTTTTCTGTAAGAATCAGGATGCTTTGATTATAGTCGAGGCTGGTCTTGACATCTACTTTTATATCTATGTTACCTACATGCTGGCAGGCAATGGACGATGGACATTAGGCAATAAATATGCCCCAAAGTGCATCCATCCTAGGCAGCACATTGCAAATTGTTTTAAAGTGTAAGCGGCGAAGAGGATAGAGACGGCATGGTCCTAGATAATATTACATCGTCTCCACGATTCTGCCTTACCTAGTCTGACAATAACCGCCCTGATTGTCTTCTCCCGTCAATGGCGGCGATTCTGCCCGTGTCGGCCGTTTCACAAACACAAAGGACACGCACCGAATAGATCAGAGCCAGCTGGACGTGGCCAGCACGAAGCTCCCAGGAGGCGCCGTGTGCGGGGGCCTCCCAGCCGACCGCAGCCGGGACGTGCGGCCGCTGCACCGGTCGCGGCACTCCGCCGCCATTGTTCGGGCCGTGAATCCTGTCCGGGTCCGCCGGGCGAGGACCGGCGCACGCAGCCGCGAGACGCACCGTGTAGGCCTTTTCTCTCAGAGCGTGAAGACACGATTTCGCGGAACGCTTGGTCACATGACGTTGCGGCGGCTGCATCCTTTGTTGGTGCGTACCTATAAATTAATCTATGAGCGTATTAGTGGTTTTTATGTAGCCTGCGTGGTGGTTCTAAATGAAGCACGCTTAGCGATCCCAGTAATAGCCAACGTGATGGTAGTGCAATGACTTGCACCACAGTCTGCGACTCTGCACTGAGTCGTGTCAAATTAATTGGTTCACTGAATTCGCAGACATATATCACGGGGTCGTGAATAATTTGTTTGCTGTTACAGTCACCCTTCTCGTCTTACCTAAATAAGGGAATGGATCACTTGCATACCTGATATCACTAATGACCCAATACCTACCACCCCGCAATGGAAATCAGTTCGGCATACCCTAACCCCAATTCCACGAAGAGCAGCGGAGGTTACCAGAAGTCGTCGGCCAAAGTGGGACACAATTCCGCCGGAGGCGCGACGTCCGCCTGTCCTCCGCGGCGGACAGGCCGCCGCCACGCACCCGGCGGATTAGAAATGGAACACGCCCCGTCGCGTTCCTTCCAGTTCGGCTCACGTACTCAGTGCTCACGTGTACCATAGGGTTAAGTTAACATGGAAAACAGCAAAAAATGGTGATACGGCGAGAATCGGCCTGGGGTGCTCACTTCCCGGGACATGGGGTCATGGGTATATACTAGTGATGTCAATTACGGAAAATCGGAATACCGATACCAAACCAAATATGAACCAAAACCTTGGGGAACTACCGAAACCAAACCAACTTGGGAACATGAGGGAAATACCAACTTTTTACCGATTTCTTAGCCTCTTATACATAAATGAGGGCTCATGATACCAACAAAATACCATTAGGATTGAAATACCAAATGCCAAGTTGGTATCGGTTACCAAAAAGTTGGTATCCGATTGACATCTCTAGTATATACCTATAACTCGGCGACATATCAGTGGGTCTCAGCAGTACGCGGTTGCCACCGGCGGATAGACGATAGAGGACAGACGGAGCTAGCGAATCAATGTGGCAAATGGCATAGTGCCACAAGCAAACCATTACCAATAGTTTCTTTTGCGAAGAAAGCAGAATGTACTTATACCTTTATATGTACTTATATCAATATCCATGTATCCTATACCTATGGTATATGGAGCACCTTATGCCGCTAAGGGCGCTAAGGTTGACTTCTGCCGATCATTTCCAATTAGAAGTAATCAGTACCTTTTCAGTAGGTTCCAGACAGCCAGCCTGCACAACACACATGAGCCGCTGCACTGGCCCCGCTCTTTACATGTTTTCACCCAATTACCTACCACCTCGCTATTAAAACCAGTTCGGCGTATATACCTACCAAGCCAGATTCCACGAAGAGAATGAGGGTTTGTTAGAAATCGGCGGCCGAAGTGAACGCGACCTGAACCGCCGGGGGCGTGGCGTCGGCCTGTCCTCCGTGACACCCTCCCCTCCCCTCCCCTGCCCTCCGTCAGGCGTCAGGTGACCGTGGAGGAAGACGACCGCGAGCAGACAGTCGCCGCGCCAGTGAGCGCGCAGCGCCGGCCGAGAGCGGGTTGTGTGAGGCGTCTCTCCGCGGTGTGCACGTGCGCGTGTGCTCTGTACTTACTGCTCGGAAAGTCTGGTGTTCCGTGCTCTGTCTTGGTGTTCCCGGTCAGTGTGTTAGTGTGTTGTACCTATCGACAGCAGAACTCCCGTGTCGGAACACCTCAACTCGCGGGAGCTACAGGGGAAGGTCTGCCGAGAAACCCCGTAGACATCTGGGTAAGTCGAAATGTTTACCATATAATGAACGCGTGACACAACTTTTCACTCTGCTAAGTTATCGGATAAGGACGCCAGGAACCGATAGTCGGAAAACAAACAATTTGAATAATTTATTATGTGCACTGAAAACTGGTGAAGAATTCCTAGCTGTTGACAGGGGCGGCGGATTCGGGGGGGGCAGGGGGGCAGCTGCCCCCCCTGGCAAACTCGTGGGGGGGGGGCAAAAGTATCTTTTTGCCCCCCCATAATTTGTGACAAAGCTTAGACAAGAAACCAGGTACCTGATTATTCTGTTCGATCATCTGAAGATGTAACCAGATGCCCATAACTTTATCATACGTTGCCTTTCTTAAATGGCAAGCGTTCACGTTCAATTGAAGTTTTCCTCTCTTCAACCTAGTTTTGGAGGCTTTATAAGCGTCAATGTGACGCAGCGGAAACCCAGGCCTTCAGTGACCGCTTCAGGAGCGACGGATACGGGGTGGCAGAGGAGGCATCGTTCCCTAAGAAACTTTTGGAGGAGGGGCAAACGTATATTCTTGCCCCTCCATATTGTGCCCTAAACATGAGGAAAATTTCCATAACCTGATATTGCAGCTATGCGCTCCTACAGTTTGTCCAACGGTGCCTTTTGAATATGTGTAAATGCTAACCATTTCCGCTTTATATCATTTTGTTTTTGTCTTTTCAGATTCGATTTATAGATGTGTGCAAGAGACGCAACTCATACCTTCAGTGGTCGTTTGCCTCTATTTTGTACCTACATAAATGCCAAATCGCAAGCGAGCGGAGACGGAATGGCTAGCCATTCGCTTGCGGGTAGTTAGGACTGATGAGCGCTCATAATAAGCCACTCCCCTGATTTCTTCGAGCGCAACAGTTTCCAGCGCATAAAATGGTAAACGCCGAGGTCGTACACATTGACGACATTGACCAATGCACGGTATGGTATGACACCCAAAGGCCAGTCATCAGAGATCTGCTTTGGGCATTCGGAGGCTTGTGTGGGGCCAGTGTAAAAACTGGATGTTCACAGTTCAGTATCCGCTTTATTTCAGTTTTCACTATTAAAAAAGTAAAAATTAGTGTTGGAAACTTTTGAGGGTTAGGGCACTGATCATTAGTGGGCCCCCCTCTGTCTAAAGGCTGACTATAGAATAAAGAGCATCAAACACGAACAGTAGCGGCGGAACACCTTCAATTAAGGGCCTGCCGACTTTTGGTCCAATTCTTTCCATGCAACGCCCATAGCGCTAACGTTAAAATGCCAAAATCAAAGGGGGGCACGGTGCCCCGGTGCCCTCCCCGTTCCGCCGCCTATGAACACGAAAGCGAAATCTGAGGCATTTTGGAAAAATGAGTATGCCCCGCAGCGTCCGATAACTACCACCTTCCGGTGGGTCAAGCCAACGGGGCCCAAGGCTATAATGGCACTTTTATAACGATAGCACTAACCTTCTCTCACTTTTTGTTGAAGTCTGTTCCGAATGGTTTCGGCGACAGACTGGCTGCACTGAGGTATGTGCAACTTTAATTAAAGCCACCTGAGGCACCCTGACACCAGGCTGAATCTGGGTTGGAAATGCTCTTGCAGATATCACTGGCCGCTGATTCTCGAGTGCCTGAATCGGTAGATGTCGTGGCAAAATTTGGTGTGATAATTTGGACCTTACCGCAGTCAGCGCACCCTAAAAGAAACGCCCTACCCAGAGCTTCTGGATTCTCGTTTCAGTCCACCGTTCCTTCACCCCAGCCCACCGCCACGCTCCCTCACCTCAGCCCTCCGTTCCCAGCTTGACGAGCATTTGGGCCTTAGTTAAGCCTTGCTGTAGGCCAACTGTATAAACCATCGAGACAGCCCGTCTCGGTGGGCTTAGTTGGCGAGCTACTGCCTTGGGGAGGGTTTCTGGCGGATCGCTGTCCCAATAGGTTCAGATGCGACCGACTGTCTCTGAATGTTTGAGCGGTCTCCTCCCGCTGTGAGCTAGTTGATATCTGTCTCAGAAATACTTTTTAG